ATTGTGTTAATCATATCTTCAAAATCATGCCAGGAGGTGAGTTTAGCCCACTCTTCCTGAATCTGTGCTGACTGTGTATTAAAATGTTAAACTTGTTATCATGTTCACCCACTGGAAGAGTGAAGTACCTCATGGCATTATAACAGGCATTAACAGCAGTTACGGAGCAATATGGCTATACATACAGTACTTATTTTGATTGTGTGTGCAAATGAACCCTCCTAACCCTGAGCCTAATCTTACTTAAAATCCACACACCACTACTTTCCAGCAGGAGACACTATAGGGTGTAATTGTGGTTGATTTGTCTCTCCCCTAACCTGGAGTATTGTGGGGAATTAAGAGCTGCCTAGGCTGAGATCAGCTAAAATATCGTAGATTTGAACCAGCAGCTCGGTTTGGCACAATGCTCACTGTGGAAGTGGCATAATTTTATATTTACATGATGATATTGCTATTGGTTGCATGATTTTAGCGACCTGTATGTACATGCTTCTAATTGCCTCTGCCTCACAGTGATACAACAACAACAACAAACAAGATTCCATTTATTGAGCGCCTTTCACGTCGGGAGGACGTCCCAAGGCGCTGTACAGTTGGGTCAGGACCTGAGCAAGGGGGAAATAGTCAGGGGGAGGGAAGGGAGGGAGCGAGGAGGGGGTAGAGAGTCAAGAGGGGAGCTGAAGGCACGTATGGCATGTTCTCCACCTCATGTGGCATGTTCTCCACCTCATTCAGTTTACAAAAGTGCTGTCAATGACCAGCAACTACAGTTGGTGACTTCGGCTCCCGTGTGCAGCACTGTTCAAAGAATCATAGAATGTTTTCAGCACAGAAAGAGACTCTTTAGCTCACTGCGTCTTGTCTGTGCTCAGTTGAGGTAAACCCAGCATTAGAAAAGTGTCAATGTTTATGCTTTGAATAACTGTCAATTTTAAAATGTTGAACTTCTGAAGTAGTCAAATATACTAATCGCTTTTCAAAAGAGACTGTTAGTGAAAAGCAGAAGATGCTGGCAATGCTGAGCAGGTCATTATCACTTGAAAGGAAAAACGTAAGGTGCGAGTCTCCTGGATGTGACTGCGCATCAAAAGATAACATGGGCTGCTCAGTACTCCATTAAACAAGCCGTCAACACAAAAGGAGAAAAATTGCAGCCAGCGGTCATTAAAAGTCAATTAGCAACCAATTATTTTGGATAATATCTCTCTCTGATAGAGTGTCAGACTAGGACTATGTGTGTTGTTACTACTATGCAATATAAGACAGTATACAGTCATCACTCACAGTGCAGTTCCACCATTTTTTTTGAAAATGACAGTGTTTCCCAGGTTTTCATTCTGTACATATTTGGTTTTGTTTTATAACTTTAGACCTTTTCTGTAATTGGGAGAATGCTGTTTTAGCAAACTAACATTGCTTTCTAGAACGTCAATATCTACATACAGTGACACTTCCAAGTTACAAACTTTTAAATTATATACATTCTTCAATCTCAATGTATCTGAAATTCCCAAGAACTACAGTGGTATCCTGCGAGAGCTGTCTGCACATACACAGAATGTCAAGTATTTTTTCTACTACTGTACAGGTAGTAACATTGAGAACTCGCTGAAGATGCCCCAGGATTTCCAATCTTTTTCACAACCTTACTTGTTCCTTCAGGAAGGATCTAAACTGTTACCTGGAACAGATAGAGTCAGTCTGAGCCTGGATTGCGCAAGGTGCACATCTTATTGCAGACTGACTGACAGTGCAATTTCTCCAATGTGTTTATGATTTAAAAGCTTGCAGCCCCATCTCGAAGCAACTACAGCGGGACATTATGCAAAAGCTGCCTCCAACGGGAGAAGAATACTGATTTATAACACCAGAATACTGCCAAGTTCAGAATGTTTCTGTATCAAAAATGGAGATTTTTTCCGCTTTTTTCCCTATCAAAGCTGGAATCCAGAACTAGAACATTTGACTATTTTTAGCCAGTTTTCAACTGCTGTAGTTGATCAGTAACAAGGTGACATTATCAAGGTTGAATCTGTCCCAGATAAGATCTTGCAGACAGTGGCTGTATTGTCTAACAGGCCACCCACATGAGACAAATGCTGATGCTGTATTCAGCAATGCAGTATAGTATTCTCTTATCTGCTATAATGTACTTGTTTCACAATAGTGATGTGGCCAGCCAACTACAGTCTGGCTCAGTTGGTGGTAATTTCACCTCTTAGGTAGAATGTTTTGGGTTCAAGCTCCATATTGCACATTGGGACTTATACTCCATACTTGTCTGACGCTCTAATTTAGTGCTAGGGGAATACTGCATTGCTGGAGGTGCCATCCTTCAGATGAGATATTAAACCAAGGTTCCATCTGTGCCTGTTTAAGCGCTCTGAGACACTGCTCCCGTAAAGGGTGCTATATAAATGCAAGTTGTTGTTGTCAAGTGGACATTAACAAACTCATGGCACAATTTGAAAAGAGAAGGGAATTTCTCCAGTTCTCCTGGCCACAATCCTCCAAATAAAATTGGTCATTAACTTCTTGGCTGTTTGTGGGATATTGCTATGCACGAACTGATTGCCAAGTTCGCCTGCAAATACACTACACAGTAAAATCCTGGGAAGTGTTTTGAAATATTCCAGCAACATGATAAGGCTTTGCATCAAGTGCAAGAATTATTATTTTTATTAATATAGCTGCTGGTGATACAAGTACTGACTCAATATTAGCACAATTATTGCATTGTATCTAGTAGCTATTTTAACCTAGTAAAATTAAGTTTTAAAATATTTAATTGGTAGTGCAAGACAATTTACCAAAGCAAGGTCCCACGAACACCCAAGAAGTGAAACTTCTTTCCTGAAGGTCCAGCGGATCAGATAGATGGGACCTTGATTTAACATTTATGGAGTGTGCGAGTGTTTGAGTTTGTAATCCCTTCAATCTCTGGCATCTCCCTACTTCTCCGACCTCCTCACTCCCCATTCCACCACCTGGCGTCTCTGCTCGACTGGCACCGGATTCCTGCTCGTCCCTTGCATCCTCCGCCCTACCACCGGAGGTTGCGTCACTACGCCTTGAATCTCTGGAACACTCTCCCTCAATCTCTCCACCTTGCCCCCTCACTCCCTCAATCCCTTCGCCTTGCTGCCTCTCTCCCTCAATCCCTCCACCATGCCCCTCACTCCCTCAATCCCTCCACCATGCCCCTCACTCCCTCAATCCCTCCACCTTGCCCCTCACTCCCTCAATCCCTCCACCTTGCCCCTCACTCCCTCAATCCCTCCGACTTGCCGCCTCTCTCCCCTTTTTCAAGTCGCGCCTGAAAACCTTCCTCTTCGACCGTGCTTGTGGCTACCTCAAACCCCCACCACCCTCCCGGCTCGGAGTCAGGCCCCGCCACTGTTAAGCGTTCTGAGATGCTACCCTGCATGCAGGATGCTATATAAGTGCAAGTTGTTGTTGTTGAGTCCCATAGCATATTGGTTAACGCACTCGCCTTACAAGCAAGAGGACCTGGGTTCGATTCCCTGGCAGGGCGAAACGTTAGGCAAGTTTCTTTACTCCACAAGCCTCTGTTTCCCTCGCACTAAGTAGGAACCTGGCCATTTGTCGATTGGTGGATCGCTTTTACGGGGGAATAATCCCTTCAAAAAAATATGGTCACTCAATTCAGGACTCTTTGTGGGATACTGGTGTGTTGCCGCGTTTCGCCCACAAAATATACGGTCAATACACTATATTCTGGGAAGCTTTTGAGACATTTCGAAAATGTAATAAGGCACTATATCAAATGCAAGGATTATTATTATTATTATTAACACCTCATCCAAAGCAAGGCACTTCATCCAAAAATTTGAGATTAAATAGAGGTAACAAAATTACTTTTTTGCGTGGGGGGGTCAGCTGGGTGTCTGACACCATGTGGAAACTCATCAACATACTTTTAAGAGGTATCCAAATCAAACTGGGAGTTGTATTCACAAAAGGGGTGACCTGGGGGCAGTGAGAGTGTGTGTGTGTGTGTGTGTGAGTGTTGGTGTGTGTGTGTGATTGTACATGTACCAGAGAGTGAGTGAGTGAGTGATTGAGTAATTGTATGTGTGTGTGTGTGATTGAGGGTGTGTATGTGTGTGTGATTGAGTGTGTGTATGTGTGTGAGATTGAGGGTGTGTGTGTGTGTGTGATTGAGGGTGTGTATGTGTGTGTGTGATTGAGGGTGTGTATGTGTGTGAGATTGAGGGTGTGTGTGTGTGATTGAGGGTGTGTATGTGTGTGAGATTGAGGGTGTGTGTGTGTGATTGAGGGTGTGTGTGTGTGTGTGATTGAGGGTGTGTATGTGTGTGTGTGTGATTGAGGGTGTGTATGTGTGTGTGTGTGTGTGATTGAGGGTGTGTATGTGTGTGTGTGTGATTGAGGGTGTGTATGTGTGTGTGTGATTGAGGGTGTGTATGTGTGTGAGATTGAGGGTGTGTGTGTGTGATTGAGGGTGTGTATGTGTGTGAGATTGAGGGTGTGTGTGTGTGATTGAGGGTGTGTGTGTGTGTGATTGAGGGTGTGTATGTGTGTGTGTGTGATTGAGGGTGTGTGTGTGTGATTGAGGGTGTGTATGTGTGTGTGATTGAGGGTGTGTATGTGTGTGTGTGTGATTGAGGGTGTGTATGTGTGTGAGATTGAGGGTGTGTGTGATTGAGGGTGTGTGTGTGAGATTGAGGGTGTGTGTGTGTGATTGAGGGTGTGTATGTGTGTGTGTGTGTGTGATTGAGGGTGTGTGTGTGATTGAGGGTGTGTGTGTGATTGAGGGTGTATATGTGTTAGTGTGTGTGTGATTGAGTGTGTGTGTGTATGTGTGTGTGTGTCAGTGTTTGAGTGTGTATGTGTTAGTGTGTGTGTGATTGAGTGTGTGTGTGTCAGTGTTTGAGTGTGTATGTGTTAGTGTGTGTGTGGGGGGGGGTGAGAGGATCTGCTGACGTCAGTCCCCCCCCACCTCCGTGTGTGTGTGTGTGTGTGTCTCGCGCGGTAAGATGGCGGCGCCGCTAACGGACGCGGAGCTATTCACGGAGCTCAGGAGCCTGGGCCTTGTCCCGGGCCCCGTCACCGAGAACACCCGGCCCGTCTACCTCAAAAAGCTCAAGAAACTGCGGGAGGAGCGAGGCGCCAGGCCCAGGAGCGGCGGCGCAGCAGCAGCAGTAGTAACAGCGGCGGCGGGGGGGGGAGGTGCGAGCCTAGGCCCGGGCCTCGGCGCTCCTCCTCCCAGCAAATTGCTGGGCTTCAGCTCGGACGAGTCGGACGCCGAGGCCAACGGGAGGAGCGAGGCTATCAGGAGGGCGAACAGAGCGGGGAGAGGCTCCGGCGAGTGCCCGAGGCCGCGGCTCAGCAAAGGCAGGAACACGCCGCCGCCGCCGCCGCCTCCTCACTCCAAGGCGGTGAATAACAACAGCGGCGCTAAGAGCCGCTCGGGGCCGTGGTGGAGGACGAAGGCGAGCGGCGGGATGCGGCGGCCGGATGATGATGATGAGGAGGAGGAGGAGGAAGGGGAGCCGGTCAGGTGCGAGCACGGCGGCGGCGGCGGCGGTAGGATGTTTCTGCTCGGCGTGGACGGTGGCTACTCGGACTCGGAGGACGAGCGGGAGGAGCGGGGCCGGAGGCCGAGCTCCAGGAGGAGTCAGCCCAGGAAGGCGGCGTCCGTGTCGGGCCACGCGAACAACAAGAGCCCGGCGGCGGCGGCGGCGGCGGCTGGAGGAGGGGAGCAGAGGGAGAGCGGCCCTGGCAGGAGGGGGGGAGGAGGAGGCTGCGGTTTGAACCACGACCTAGTCGGCGGCCCTTACTGGCTGGAGCCGCTGGGAGACGAGCTGGAGCCAGAGGAAGAGGAGGAAGAGGAAGAAGGAGAGATGGACGGCGCCGTGGAGCCCGCCATGTCCCTGCGCTCCCGCAACTCGTCCAGCAGGAAGGGAGCCGCCGAGAGGCTGAGCCTCCAGCACCTCGCAGGCGCCAGGAACAACAACCACGTCGGCCTAATGCACAACAGCAACGCCGTGGGCGGCAGAGGCGGCGGCGGCAACCCCTCGCCATCCCTCCTGGTCAAGGCCAATCACTCGAACCACAACACCCCCGTCTCCAACCACACGTACTGTAGTACTTACACCCGCAAGAACTTGCGAGAGCCCGAGGAGGAGCTGCTGCAGCAGTTTAAAAGGGAGGAGGTGTCGGCTACCGGCGGCTTCAGTGCACACTACCTGTCCATGTTTCTATTGACTGCTGCTTGTTTGTTTTTCCTCATATTGGGACTGACTTACATAAGGATGAGGGGTTCAGGAGGCACAGATCCAGGAATTTCTAACAGTAAGTGTTATAACCTCTTCTCTTTTTTTCACGCTCTCTTCCCCCGTTTTTTTTTTAAAAAAATAGGCCGTTGATCAGTGTTTCAATGAGCCAGACTTGTTAAATATTTTAATTCAGAAATGTTCGATCGTCCACAAGGTATGTCTGGTTCAGTGTTCAATGCATCGCAGGGAACCGGGACACGGTGAGCCACCACTAGTCTTCATACGATTGTAATCGTGAATCATAATTTAATAACTGGGGTTAAGACTAAACCATGTCTTATTGGCGAGAACAGGCATACATTTCCAGGAAAAATGTCGTGGTTAAGTGTCTGGCGAGGTCCATTACCTCATTTGTACAGACATGGGTGCGGTGATGCAGAAAACTGAATTCGTCTCATGCTATTAATGAAACTGAGCAGTATATATAGTAATGTGTTCATTGTATAGGTGCTTCAATCAGAGATGGTTCTTTATTGCCCTCAGTTGCTGTCTTATGAAAACTCTTTATTTGGTGGGAGGAATTTTATAGAATCGGCAGCAAATAAGTGTGTCAGCTCATTTAATACAGTATGGAATTCTTGTATTTTTGTCAGCCCTTTCCTATTTGGGACAGTTTGTGGAGGTTTGCAGTGTGTAACCTTGTTCTCTGGAAGACTGAATCCAGGTTGCCTGCAAGTAGGAAAAATATTCTGCCAGATATGGCATTTCATATCTTCAGAAGCAGCAATTTTGCATTGTCCACTTGCCTGCCATAGGAGGTCTCATTTGATGCTATCTGTGGAAGGACTGCAAGGTAAATGAGGCAATAATGACAAAGCACTACAGTTTGGTACCATCATGAAATCATTGAAGCATAATTGTCTTTGTGGTTTAATTTCAAATGAGTAATGTAAATGGGATGTGTGTATCCCAGGAACAAGCAAGAATATGGTTTTGACATCTTGTCTTATGATGGTTTATGAAGCTGATATTTCAGCCTCAGGAGATGCCCTTGGGCCCAAACACCAGTTTGGATGGAAGAGATAAGTACCCATCTTCACAGGCTCAAATTGTTGCAAGATTCCTGTTTTTATTTGAGATATGTTATCTTGTGAATAAGAATCTAGCTTCTTCCACTATTATTTATTTAAAACTTGCATAGTTTTATGAAAGTCTTCTCCCACAAAATACACATGGTCACACTACAATATATCCTGTGAAGTGCTTCGAGACGTCTCAAAGTGATGAAGTTCTACATCAAATGTAAGCTTTCTGCACAATTAACTATATTCATTAATGAAGTTCCCAGTGATGCGTCATTTTTATTATACTATATGTATTTGCAGAGGTGGGTTCAGTAGTGATTGCTTTTTCAGACTTTGTATTTTCAAATTCTGACTCCACCCTCGACTCCAAGATCACTGCTGTCCTAACAGAATGTCTGCCAGACATCAAGTTCTGGATGAGAACTAACTTTCTACAATTGAATATCAACAAGACCGAGGCCTTCCTGATTGGCTCCACACCTCAAGTGCTGACAACATCACCATCCAAGGATGCAACTCCACCTCACTGAGCCAGTCCAGAACCTTGGCATCTTGTTTGACCCTCAACTATCCTTTCTACCCCACATCCTTGCCATTACCCGCTCTGCCTTCCCCTGCCTCCACAAAATCACCTGGCTCCGCCGCTGTCTCACACCGCAGGTTGCCAAAACCCTCATACACACATTCATAACATCCAGGCTTGACTATGCAAACTCCCTGCTTGTTGGCCTTCCAAATCCTTCTTCGATAAGCTGCAGATCACTCAGAATTCTACAGCCCGTGTCCTCTCCCGCACTAGGCTCCGTGACCCTATCGCCCCCATCCTCACCCGACTCCACTTGCTTCCCATCACACAGAAGATCCTGGTCCTCACATTCAAAGCCCTGCATGGCCTTGCTCCCCCCTACCTCTGCAACCTCCTAACTCCCAACCAACCTGCCCACTCCCTCCACTCAGCAGGCTCCGGCCTGCTTTACCTCCCTACCTCTCTGACCTGCTTACTCCCCAACCCATGTCCCTTGTGCCCTCCGTTCCATAACTGTCCTTCCTTCCTCACATCCAGTCCCTGACCAGGACCGAGTTCCTCCACTTCCACCACATCGCCTGCCTCCGACCATACCTTACCCCAGACGCAGCCAAAACACTCGTCCATGGGTTCGTCACCTCCCGACTCGACTTTTCAGATGTCACCCGCACTGAACTTCGTATCCCCGTCAGACCAGTTCTAGACAGGCTCTGCTGTCTCCCTATCGACGAACGGATTGATTTTTCAAATCCCTTCATGCCCTAGTACCTCCCTACATCTCCGACCTGCTTACTCCCCAACTCACTATCTGCTACCTCTGCTCGACTAGCTCTGGCACGTCCCTCGTACCCTCCATTCCACCTTCAGCAAATCTGCCCCCACCCTCTGGAACTTAAACCCACAGTCTCTCGGTCTCGCAACCTCCCTCGCTTCCTTCAAAGACCCTCCTCTTCGTCCATGCATTCAATAACCCTCCTTCTTCCCTGCCCTCCCCGACCCCCACCTTGGGTCCAAAACACTGATTGTCCAGCGCCTTGGGACGTCCTCTTGATATGAAAGGCGCTATACAAATGTTATTTTGTTGTTGTTCAAAAAAAGCTCCTTCCCAAATTGCTAGTTTTTTTTCGACCCGACTTGATGAATGGATATCACTCTCTTTTAATATTTTTTCCTGACCCTCCCATCACAAGTAAATCCCAGGACTCGTATATGATCACCAACTATTGTTTCATCTCAATGCTGAGATATCTATACCTATAAGTGACAGAATTTGTTCAGCCTGGCTCATGGTAAACCTAGGCATCAGGTTCGATCCACAACTGTCCTTCATTTCCCACATCCGGTCCCTGACCAGGGACGCCTTCCTCCACCTCCGCCACATTGCCTACCTCTGACCGTATCTTACCCCAGATGCAGCCGAAACACTCGTCCATGGGTTTGTCACCTCCCAACATGACTTTTCAAATGTCTTCTTTGCCGATCTCCCAGCTCCACCATGCACAGGATCCAGCTGATCCAAAACTCTGCTGCCTTCATGCTCACCCACACTGAACTCCATTTCCTCATCACACGAGTTCTAGCTGTCTTCCTATCGCCAAACGGATTGATTTCAAGATCCTCACATTCTTTTTCAAATCTCTTCAATGCCTTGGCACCTCCCTACCTCCGACCTGCTTACTCCCCAACCCACTATCTGCTGCCTCCACTCGACTGGCTCCAGCACATGTCCCTCGTGCCCTCCAGTCCACTATTGATGGCTGTGCTTTGAGCCACTACGCCCTGAAACTCTGGAACACTCTTACTCTATGCCTCCGCCTTGCTCCTTCCTTCCCCTACTTCAGATTGCATTTGAAGGCCATTCTCTCTGACCGTGCTTATGATCACCACCCACCAGCTCGGAGTCGTGCTCACGTCGTTGATGTTTTTTGGTCAACCGGGTGTCTGACACGTGGAAACCCATCACCCTGCTTAAGAGTATCCAAACCAAACAAGGAAATTCCGGAGATAGATTGTTGAAATGGAATGTGCACTCTTTCCTTGGAGTGATGCATCCTGCTTACCTAACTCCGTAAGCAGCTGGACGCAGGTTGGGCTGGGCGCAGGTTGGGCTGGGCGCAGGTTGGGCTGGGCGCAGGTTGGGCTGGGCGCAGGTTGGGCTGGGCGCAGGTTGGGCTGGGCGCAGGTTGGGCTGGGCGCCCCAGAGTGCGCATTGGGGACTCCAGAGTGTGAGTTGGGGTACTGCTGGAGTCTAACCAACTGAAGCCACGTAGCTTGCCATTGATATTGCTGTCTGGCAAGCTTGTCCAGCTGGGTCTACCCTACCCTTTAAGGGCTTTGGCTTACAGGGTTATTAAAAGGAGTTGACTGGTATGACTCCCTACCCCCAGTGACTGGTCTGCCCTTCCAAGTCCTGCCGATGAGCAAGGCTGGCTGGCTGTCATAGCAGTGCCCTAGAATACTGTGGACCTGCCTGGCTTAGGTACCGGACTACTGAGACTGCTGAGGGCTCGATTCCGACATTCTGTTAGCAAGCATGTCACATTGGAGCCAGTTCAGCTCCAAGGAGACCCAGCTTCTCTCACTTTCTCTCTCTTCCCCCTCCCACCGCCCCAAGGAGGATAGTCACTTGTTGGTCGTTTCACATCCCACAAGCGTGGATTTGAGTCCTCATTAGTTGGATGGTATAGTAGCCCTCATTAGTTGGTGGGGATGGAGATAGAGCTCCCTGCGAGCTTCCCGGTTGTTAAGACATCTCAGCATGAAATGCGCCAGAGCTTTGCCATTTTCTCCCTGTCTTGCAGCTTGGGCACATGTCCCTTCCCATTGAGCGATGGCTCCACCAATTGGAGATGTGGTGTTTAAACAGTAGCAGGTTGCCTCTGCAAGCCAATCAAGGTGGATTCCAGGTGCTGGATGTATGAACAAGTTTCCTCATCTGCTCTCTGGCGGGCTTCAGCGACATCTGAAAGCAATTGTATATTTTGTGGGCAAAACGTGGCAGCTAATGTCCCACAAACAATCATGGATCGAGTGACCCAAATTTTGGGGGGTGCCGGTGGGGAGGGAATTATTACCTCCGTAAAATGATCCGCCAATCGACTAACAACTGGGTTCTTATTTACTGCTTGGTAAACAGAGGTGCGTGGAGTACTGAAACTTGCCTAACGTTTCACTCTGCCCAGGAATCGAACCTGGGTCCTATCGCATGCGAGGCGAGCTCGGTAACCACTTGTTTTCCAAAGTGAACTAATTCCACTACAAAAAGCTTGAATTTATTATATCTGTTATTATTGTATCCATTATATAATACTCATTTGCTGTATTTTTTTGTTTCAAAAATCCCATTCCTCATTGACATTAAACACAACTTGGGCATCTTTTAGTTTTGGGTGTCATCAGAACTCTGTCTTGCATCTCATTGCCAAACATTAATTTCCTTATAATCAACTATTTCCTGGTAAGCAA